AAGTAGTCAAGGCGAGCTGTCTGGAGTGTGGGATCTGTTTATGACCAATAGATTAAGGTATTTGCATTCTAATAATGCTAAGGGAAGGAAGCTAAACAGGTCCGTGACGTAGGAAGTGATGAAGGAAGCAGTAAAGGCGAGTTGTTCGGAGTGTGGGAACTGTTTATAACGATTAGATTAAGGTATCTTGATATCTACAATCTTAAAATTCTATGGGAAGAGAGGGAAACAGGTCTGTGACGTAAGAAGAGGTGAAGGAAGTAGTAAGGTGAGCAGTGTGGAGTTTGGGAACTGGAAACCGTTTGAGGCAGTTAGATTAATGTATCTGCAATGCTGAAATGCTATGAGAAGGGATGGAAGCATGGCCACGACATAGAAAATGGTGAAAGAAGTAGTAAAGGCTAGCAGTGCGGAATGTGGGCAATGTTTGTGGCAATTAGATTAACGTATCTAAAATACTAAAATGCTATGGAAAGTGATGAAAACAGGTCCACGATGTAGGAAGTGGCTTAGGAAGTAGTAAAGTATGAACATATTGTGAGAACCGTCTGTGGCAGTTAGATTAATGTATCTTCAATCCTAAAATGCTATGAGAAGGGAAGGAAACAGGCCCCACGACATAGGAAGTAGTGAAGGAAATAGTAAAAGCTGGCAGTGCAGAGTGAGGGAACCGTTTGGGCAGTTAGATAAATGTATCTAAGACTTAAATGCTATGAGAAGGGATGGAAACAGGTCTATGACGTAGGAAATGGTGAAGGAAGTAGTAAGGCTTGCAGAGCAGAGTGTGGGAAGTGTATTTGGCTATTACATTAATGTATCTGCAATCCTAAAATGCTATGGGAAGAGAGGGAAACAGGTCCACGACGTAGGGGACGGTGAAGGAAGTAGTAAAGGTGGGCAGTGTTGAGTGTGGGAATGGATTAATGTATCTGCAATGCTAAAATGCTATGGGAAGAGACTGTAGACTGTAGGTTAAAATGATTATGAAGCACGAATCGTTACATATTTCGATACGTATTCAATAGTTTACAATAGAAATTTACACCTGAGTTGACAACAGCTGAGTTTTACTCCATAGAGGCTAAAAACAAATTTTATTCCCTAAAGAGTAAAAATGCTACTTTAGACCCGCAAAGCATGCACCAATGACGACTGTTTTTACTGCAGTATGACAAAAACAATATAATATGAACCCTTGATGACTCCGCTCAATTTTGTGGAAGCCTCTGCGAACGCCACCTAGTATATCCAAAATTCAAAAGATTAATTTTTCTAATATTGTTTTTTATTTTTCCAATATCCTTTTTAATTATCTGTTTTAACTTTTGGTTTAAAATTAATTTATTAAGTAAATATTTACTTTTTGTACTAGTGTAAACACAGCCTGAAGATGGAAACCTAGTTTCTGAAAGAGCTAGTGAATAAAACAATTATTAGATATAGGCCTTGTTGAACATTTACATTTAGATAAACATTTCATCAGTGGTAGTAGTTCTTTTCTTCAGTTTGTTACCGGGACATTACGGGTCATTACAGGATATCCAGTGGATTTTGTACATATGTCCCGGGATGTCATGGGACATTCTGGGATATCCTATGGCATTCGTACATATCCCGGGACTTTACAGGATATCCTGAGGTTAACTTACAAATCCCGGGACATTACGGTATATTGTAGGATATCCTGTGGATTTCGTACCCGTCCCGGGATTTTGCGGGATATCCTGAGGCTAGCGTACATATCCCGAGACATTCTCAGGACATATGGGACTACTATGGGATGTCCCTGGGATAAAGTGTGCTGTCTGGGTTTAAATGACCGTATTAACGGGAAACAAATTGTAAACCAAACACGACCTCTACATAAACCGTACAGAACTAACAATAAACTTGTCTTCAGCTGTTCCATTAGGATGAGAAATCTACTAAGGGAGTATGTTTTATTGCTCAAAGGCTCAAAGTTTCATATTTTAGCGAATTTCCCTATAGGGAATAAGCTATTACCGTAGGTCTCATGGTAAGACTTAGTCCCGGGACCGATTTACTTTTTCATTTTGATGTCCCTAGAAGCCAAAAACACCATCCGTTCAAATTCATATATATATATATATTTATATATATATATATTTATATATATATATATATATATATATATATATGTGTCCGTCAGCACGATAACTCGAGCAAAAATTATCCGATTTCGATGAAATTTGGTACAAACGTGTAAACCTACGTTTATTCGAACGAGTTCGCGAACCAGCATGATCGGACCATGGGAACGGGGTTTTATGGGGGGATTTATGGGGTAAAAATTGGTTTTTCTCATTTTTGACCCTCAAAACATAAAATTTCCCAAATTTCCTCTAAACCATTTTGAAGAGCTTAAAAAAACAAATAATTCAGTATATTGAAGTGTTTTTGTATGGTTATTGGTTACGGAGAAAATTGTAAATTAAAAATTCCCATGTTATTCTTATGGAGAATAAGTAAACTGTTGTAGTTTGCTTGTTTATGCATATATTTGAATCAACTTGCCCAATCTATTTATTTTATACTAAGCTATTAATATTTTACTAAAAAACACACTTTATTACCCTGTAGGCAGCAAACCTAGGTGCTCGTTAAACCTAATGTTATTTGAATAGGTTTATTTGAAAATAAAATCAGGCAAACGGAAATTCGCTTAGTCTGCAGGTTTGCTGCGGCGGGGGTATTAATTTATATTGTAAGCTACATGTGAAGAGGCTTGACTATTGAAGAATTATGGTAAAACATGTAATTCATTATAAGCATCAATATGAAGCAGTTGATGCTATTACTACACTAAGGTATGTTGTCATATTATGGATCTTCTATTAACATCAAAAGTAGGGGTTTGATAGTACAGTAAGTAGCTTTACGATTTTAAATCAGTTTATATTTTCAAACTAAATCATAGAGTTGCTGTATTTTAAAACACACATCACCACCACTTTAATAGTTCTCTAGGTCACATTTTCTTCCCGTTGCAAAGCACGGGTATAGCAGCTTGTAACATTTTAAAGCGGAGTCAATATTTTCATAGTCCAGTAACCAGCTGTTGTAAATACAACATAACAGCTGTTGAGCTGTTACCACGTTTCTAGTATTCTTGGTTACAACCACAACCACGACTACAACCATACTTGCGTTGCGATGTTGCCAGTACGGTACGTATTAGAGGTGGTTGTGCTTGGAGTTAAAGGTAGCCGCGAATAAACGCGTTTCTTTGATACCGATCCGAGATCGAAGTGTAAGAAGAGATAGAGTATTCAAAACTTATATTTAATTATTGTTTTTTTTTACAAAATTGCAATGCCTATTCGTTAAGAAAATATGCGATGCAAACAACCGATGGCATATAATGCCATATTGATTATGGTAGGTGTATGGCTCTGGGGAGTGGGATTTTTTAAGCGAGATTTATCCCTATTCGGGGAAATTTTTTCAAACTTTTGATCCCTTTCAGGGATTTTCTCCAGTTTGTACCTACAGCTGTATAAACCATGTAGCCCTACTATTTTTGGGGCGAGGAATTCGATGGGACCATCGCCGTCCCCCTACGAGCCCCCCCTTTCTAATTACAAGGGGTAGATGGATATTCTTTGAATAAAATATATTTGTTTTCATGTGTATTTATTTATTATATTATCCTCCATACAAATAAACTCATTTTAACACTTATACTGCCCCCTTGTACTGTAAGGGCAAGACCCTCCCCCCCCCCTTTGACTAAATATATATAATTTTGGAGAATATGTCGGTAAATCAGTACAAAAATAATAAATATCCCCTATTTTTGGGGTGAGAAGTCCAATGGAACCATCGCCGACGACCTAACCCCCCCCCTTCCTACTTACAAGGGGGGGAATTCCCCCCCCAGCCAAAATATTTTTTCTTCCCTATTATATTGATTTGTTATGTTTTCCTAAATACAAATACACCCTTTACAACAGTTATATTGCCCTCCTTGACCTGTAAGGGGGCGACACCCCCCCCATTTGCTAAATGTATATAGCTTTCGAAATTTTGTCTATAAAGCAGTACAAAACCATGGATACCCCCTATTTTCGGGGTGAGAAGTTCAATGGCGCAAACCCCGTCCCTCCATCATCTATAGTTTTCGATTTAGGGTGGGGGTATATGGATCTGGGGAGTGGGTATAAAATACGTGTTCTGGGATGTATGAGGGGTTGTGATGTAGTTTTTTACCCTATTTTGGGGTCGAGAAATTCAATGGCGCAAACCCCGTCCCTCCATCATCTATAGTTTTCGACTTAGGGTGGGGGTATATGGATCTGGGGAGTGGGTATAAAATACGTGTTCTGGGATGTATGAGGGGTTGTGATGTAGTTTTTTACCCTATTTTGGGGTCGAGAAATTCAATGGCGCAAACCCCGTCCCTCCATCATCTATAGTTTTCGATTTAGGGTGGGGGTATATGGATCTGGGGAGTGGGTATAAAATACGTGTTCTGGGATGTATGAGGGGTTGTGATGTAGTTTTATACCCTATTTTGGGGTCGAGAAATTCAATGGCGCAAACCCCGTCCCTCCATCATCTATAGTTTTCGATTTAGGGTGGGGGTATATGGATCTGGGGAGTGGGTATAAAATACGTGTTCGGGAGGGTATGAGGGGTTGTCGGGTGATTCCCACATTAGGTCATTAAGTAAGATGTCGGTCATCTGGGACCCTGCGCAATCAATTTTATTCTGAACATCTACACAGACTTCTAGTCGGCCGTGCTTCTACTGTGATCGTGATCGTGGGAATTTTGGTTTAGATCTATGTGGGTTGGTCATGATGGAGGAATGCTTCAACTTATTAATCTTGGGAGGAATGCTTGGTTGTTATTATTAATCTCTTTCTGCTTTTCTTCTGCTAGAGCTAGAGCTAGGCTATTATTGCCATTTTTGTTTACAATACAAATGTGTTTTACAATGTTTACCGTACTGTTCAAATCCCCTGTTTATCACACAATTTTCAAACTTTAGTTAGTTGTTATTATGTCCATCGATATATAACAAACATCGTGTTTGTATATCGATGATTATGTCCAAGGAACAATTTCAAATGTTTATCCCTCAAAACTATTGCAGATGTTGTGGAATAGAGAAATCATCTGGCATAGACTTAAATGTCATAAACAATGATAGATCAGATAAATTAACAAAAGTTTTATCTTTACTCCCCAAAAAGGTGAGTGTCTAGGTTGAAATGAAATATATATATAATAAGCCTGTAACTTATATCTAAGTTATGTAACCAGTTTCAGTTTCACTATTCTTTAGGTTTAGACACCTTAATTTTATTCTTGACAACACAATAGGCCTACTGTAATAGGTTATATTATACACCAGTGAACCTGTGATAAATTATAGGCCTATTATCGGTTTAAATATTGGCTGCACTTTAGTTAACATCCTACACTCATTCGAATGAAAAATATCAATATATAGATTATTTGATATATCGATTTCATTCGGTCAGTTAGGTTAGGTTTTAACTTAACCAACCAAACTTGATATATCGAATGATATAATTTATATATCAATCGATATATTCATTCAAATGAGTGTAGGACGTAAACTAAAGTGCAGCCTAAATACCCTATCAATAACCTATTATCCTATATCGATTTTATTTTGGTCCGATAAGTTATAAGGTTTATCGTTTCTACAATGTAGGTACTTAAATTTTTTATGTAGGCCTACATCAAATCAGGTTATGATCTGTTTAGGCCCTACGTGTTATAGATGTTTAATAAATGAAACTATCAATTGGCTATTCGGCTGCACTTTACTTGACGTCCTACACTCATTCGAATGAAAATATCGATCGATATATCGATTAATCGATTGCTTCGTTCGATATATCGTTTGGTTAGTTAGGTAAGGTTAACCTAACCTAACTAACCAAACGATATATCGAATGAAACAATCGAATGAAAATATCGAATCGAAAAAAACAATCGAATGAGTGTAGGACGTCAAGTAAAGTGCAGCCGGCTATTCAACCATAAAATAAATAGCCTAGCCTATATACCTACTTAGCATTATGAAAGTTACAGTTATACAGTAGCTTAGAACCTTGATAACCAGACTCTCATGGGGATTATAAAATAAGTCTGGTTATCAAGAATGGCCTCTTATTGAGGTTTGCAATGACATGTGTTTTAAGGAAAATAAATTCAAGGGGATTATCGAGGGAATTCTTATCGAGGTTCCACTGTATTATGAAAGCATTTAATCAATAAGTCTTAAGTTAGGCCTATTTAACTAAAACTTATAAGTTTAAATATATAGCCTAATAGCTACGGCATAGCCTACAGTTCAAAAATGTATAGTTTCTTCCGTTTTTAGTTGTTCAAATTTAAAACAAAACTTACCAGTAGGTTAAAATAAAGAAACAATTTTATGAATTCTTTTGGTTTTTAATGAATTTCCCATAGGCTATAGGGAATAAGCTATTACCGTACCGTAGTAACTTACTCATGGTTAGACCTGGACGCGGGACCGTTTTTTTTTTTTTTTTTTTGAGGTCCCTAGAGGCCAAAAACACTATCCGTTCAAAATTCATATACCTCTATATATGTATGTGTCTGTTAGCACGATAACTCAAGCAAAAATGATCTGATTTTTATGAAATTTGGTATAAACGTGTAAACCTACATTTATTCGAACGATTTCGCAAAGCAGCATGATCGAACTATGGGAACGGGGTTTTATGGGGTAAATAGGGTTTTCCCATGAAAAAAAAAATATTTAGTATATTGAAGGGTTATTATGCGCCTAAAATGGTAACGGAGAAAATTCAAAAATACCCCTGCCGCAGCAAACCTGCAGACTAAGGGAATTTCCATTTTTCCATTTACCTGATTGGATTTACACTAAAATGTCATACTTAAAAATATAACATTTATTTCCTATTTAAATATAATTAGTTTAACAAGTACTTAGGTTTGCTGCATCAGGGAGGGTAATTTTTTTTATGTTAATAGTTAGTAAGAAATAAAAAACATTTTCCAAATCTGATCAAAATATGTTCATAAATAAACATGCAAACTACAATAGTTTACTTGTTCTCCATAAGAATAACATGGGAATTTTAAATTTTATTTTTTTGATTTTTTGATTTTTTTTGATTTTTTTCCGTAACCATTAGGGGCATAATAAAACGCTTCATTATACTAAATTATTTGTTTTTTTAAGCCCTACAAAATGGCGTGGAAAGAAATTGCAAAATGTTATGTTTTTGGGTCAAAAATGGGAAAAACCCATTTTTACCCCATAAAACCCCCCGTAAACCCCCGTTCCCATGGTCCGATCATGCTGGTTCGCCAACTCATTAGAATAAATGTAGGTTTACATGTTTGTACCAAATTTCATCAAAATCGGATCATTTTTGCTCGAGTTATCGTGCTGACGGACAAATATATATATGAATTTGAACGGATGGTGTTTTTGGCCTCTAGGGACCTCAAAACGAAAAAAAAAATCGGTCCCGCGTCCAGGTTTTATCATGAGTACTACGGTAATAGCTTATTCCCTCATGGGAAATTCGCTAAAATTGCAAATTTATAATTCCCATGTTATTCTTATGGAGGATAAGTAAACTGTTGTAGTTTGCTTGTTTATGAACATATTTTGATCAAATTTGGAAAATGTCTTTATTTATTACTAACTATTAACATTTCACAAAAAGAAAAACGGTTTTACCCTCCCTGATGCAGCAAACCTAAGTAGGCCTACTTGTTAAACTAATTCTATTTAAGTTATATTTAAGTAGACATTTTAGTGTAAGTCCAATCAGGCAAATGGGAATTCGCTTAGTCTGCAGGTTTGCTGTGGCGGGGATATTATAGTAAACTTATCATACAGTAAAATTAAAAGTAACTGTTATAGCGATCACTGACGTCACGTCAAAATAGTATATATTTTACTATTAACTTATGACGCTAAATAACTTCCTGAATTTGATAAAAACTTTATTTAGTTACTTCGGCTTGTATATCAAAACACATTTGAGGTAGGCTTATTTAAATTGTGCCGAATGCGATTAACTTAATTTATGTTACTAAATTTTTTTTCCATACTCTGTAATTGAAAAATTGGGTTTTAAAATGTTAACAAAACCCAGCTTTAGCCAGGACTTATAATTAAAAGCCCGGATAGACTTCCATATCTGTTGTCAAAAACAACGAAATGAAAATATCGATCAATATATAGATTATTCGATATATCGTTTGGTTAATTAGGTTAGGTTATTATAGCTGATCTCCACAACTAAAATGTAATTGTAGTCTTTTTTTATAGTAGCCAAAATGATGGGAGGGAAAATATTTGCCTCCGCCAAGTATAGATTGTACTAAGTTATGTGATTAAGTTTCTGTGGGAAAGGGTCCAACTTCAAAATTAAATCCATTGCCTGTTTACAGATGTGTATGTGCAGAAAAGTGTATGGACAAAGAAAATGTGCATGGCTTTTATGGAGTTTGCAGAAGGTCGTACACATTTATAGGCAAAGAGGCCTGCAGCGTGTTTCACCAGTTTCAGAAACCGAGATAAAGGTTGAGGATATTTTGCTTTCTGATCAGGGTGCTCAAAAATACCAAGATTTATCATAGCCACAGCCCTTGATAGACTTATAGAGACACCCTCATCAGTTTGGCAATCTTTATAAAAAGATTCATATTTGGCAAAAGTGTATATTATCCTTTGTAGTTATTATCCTTTGTGTAGTTTTTGGCTTTCATGAAAAGAGCAATTAATTGTTGCATAGGTGTAAGAAACAGCTTGAATAGTGGTGGATAAAGTCTACATTATGGCGCTAATGTCAAATTTGAACTAACTTGCTTGGCCGCAACAGGAGCTCAGTGGAGACACCCCTTGTTGAAGCTTAAGTCTTTAAATCTATCTATAAGAACAGATACGGGATTTAAAAGCAACAATATGGTATTAGTTAGGCCCTATCCATAGCCTATCTTAACTGTTGGGATCATACACACATTTTATACTGTCTGTTTTAGGTTATAAATATTACATCAAGCGACAAGCTAACAAAGTTTGTTTGTGTCGACTGTGAGATGACTCTTCATCACTTCGGTGACTTTTGTGAAATGATCAAGAAAGTTCAGAAAACACTCAAGTCTCGTCTCAAATCAGCAGAGGTTGATAAAAACAATCAGGTTAACACAATCAACTTAAATAGAACGCAGAGGATATGCGTCCGGTAACCGAACGTGGATTAGGCGACCGGCAATGATGTCACCGGGTTGTGGGGGCCCGGAGCACCATTACCACAACGATACGATGTACAGCCAACGGAGTTTGTGGTGTAGTGGATAGAGTACTCGGGTGATGAACTAGGTACTAGATCAAATCCCATCGGTTATATTAACTTTTTGTAAAAAATTTGGCTTGGAATGCCATTTATTCGTAACTGTTCATCTTTTGTTAGAATTTGAGGCATTTATAATTTTATTTTATGAACAGAATTTAACCTTCATTCGATTTTAGCGAATATCCCATGTAGGGAATAAGCTATTACCATAGTACTCATGGTAAGACCTGGACCCGGAACCGACCAATTACTTTTTTGTTTTGATGTCCTAGAGGCCATCAAAGACCATCAAATACATATATACACATATAGGCCTACAAGTCATAATGGTAGATCATGGTTTTGCAAACTCGTTCGAACAAATGTAGGTTTACACGTTTACCAAATTTAATCAAAATCGGATCATTTTTGCTCGATTTTCATGGTAACGGTTTGGTATAAACGTTTAAACCTACATTTATTCAAACGAGTTTGTGAACCAGCATGATCAGACTATGAGAACGGGGGCTTATGAGGGGTTTTACAGTAAAAATATATTTTTCCCATTTTTACCCTAAAAACAAAAAAATCACAATTTCTGTCCAAACTATTATGTAAAGCTTAAAAAACAAATAATTTAGTATGTTGAAGCGTTATTGTGCGCCTACTGGTTACAGAGACAATCCAAAAAAAATTTTAATTTAAAATTCCCATGTTATTCTTAAGAAAGATAACTGTTGTAGTTTGCTTGTTTATGAACATATTTTGATCGAATTTGTAAAATACATTAATTTCTTACTAAACTATTTACATTTTACAACAAAAAACACCTGTTTACCCTCCCTGTTGCAGCAAACCTAAGTACTCGTTAAACTACTTCTATTTAAATAGGGAATAAATGTGATATTTTTTAGGAGGCATTTTAGTGTTTCAAATCCAATCAGGCAGATGGAAATTCGCTTAGTCTGCTGGTTTTGTGGTGAAATGCAGTGGTATGAGTGTTAATAAAAACATCTGGGCCCAATATATCTTCCACTAACCACTACTAAATCACACATTTCCTGTCATAGTTCAAACTCTATTTGCAAAGAATTTAACTACCCCGTCAAAGTACACAATAATACCTTAGCTGCCTATCACAGCCAGCTTTTATGTTATTTAATACATCTAATTAATACTTATTCTAAGGCAGGCCGCACACTTAATATAGCACAGCACGGCGAAAAGGTTAGTTAGGCTAGATTATGACAGTAACTGCCTAATCAACGCCCAGTTACCGGACGCATATCATCTGCCTAAATAGAAAGTTTAAATATCAACCAATTAATTGTAAGTTTTTTAGCATTAAATTTAAATTTCCCATGCAGTAGGTAATTGAATTCAGGCTAATCTCATACAAAACCTGTTAAAAAATTGTTTGGTTGTAACACAAAACCCCTTGTGATGTTTAATAAAGTTAAAGACTACAAGCAAATTGCCGGATGCTGTAGCAGACCTTATTTATCAAGATGGACTTACCACATATTCTGACTTTTCCGATTTCCTGTATGGCTTTCAAAGGGAGAGGGAGGTCATTCAAAAGTGTTACTGCATTGAAGTGGAAGTTTTTCTGGAAGAAAGTGGTTGAGTGTCGTGGTACCGAAAGATTGAAATTGTTGCGGAGAGGATAACTATGGATACTTGGAGAGCTATATGATTATTGGTTTTTCTTAATAAATGATAATGTTTCAAAAATTTAAATGGAAGGGAAAGTTAGAACTTTGTGTGATCTGAAGACATCTTTGCAGGATTGTCGACGGGGAAGGGAAAAAATCGTCTGGAGAGCGTTTTTTTGGAGCTTGAATATCAAAACATTTTTGAACTCATCATTTACCACTAGCCGTATGTGGCAACTACTTCAACAAAACTCATTACGTTTATCGTAGAATTTCAGAATCCTAGAATTTTATTTTCATTGCAAGTAAGTTCTATCAATTAGCTAAGTTTTAACATGTCTATTTGTCATCCGCAGGAGAAGCCACAAAAGAAGACAGACTGTCATGTGACTGGTGTCTCGTCCACCACGTCTCCTGTAATCATCTCCATCAGCAAGGAAGGTCAGTTAAGATGCGAGGACTGCCACAGCTCCCTGGCCACTAGTCAACTGATCACCCTTCATATGCTGACTCATGGACTCGGGTCTGTGCTATGCTCTTGTAAACACTGCGGTCACCGCGACGAGATCGGAGCTTTCCTGCAGCACAACAATGAGGTTGGTTTACATTAAAAAACCAGTGTTTTGACTATAGCTTTTGAGAAATATTAACATGACAATCGGGTTAAGTAACTTGCTAAATTATTTTTACCGATTCCATCAACTAAGCTAATTGTAAAGTTACAGGTAAAACAGGTAACATCTATATAAGACGCCATCTATATAATGACGCCATTCGTGCGCATGTTTGCAAATTTTGAACAATGTTTATTTCATTTCATATTTATCTATATAAATAAAATCAGAGTTTTGTCTGTACATTGCTCAGAATTATACATATTTAGGTTATTTTCACGTTTTATACATTAAAGAAGCAGAAACAAGTCTTATCTCTATTTCTGTCTGTCTTTCTGTAACACTCAAGATGGCATTTTACGCAATCTTCTCCATGAAAACGAGAGTACCTATCGAGATCCAAGTCATTTTAATGTATTCACTGGATTGGCGAGAGTGTCTTTAGCCATTAAAACATGGCCTCACTACTTTGTAAATAAAATTACGGACGTTTAAAAATGCAGTTTTGTGCGATTTTTGCCAAGTTTTCGTTCAATTTTTATCACATAATCATCTATGAAATAACGAACAGCTGTTCGAATCAAGATTTTTTTTCTAGCTGTCACTGATATGTTTACAAATGTTGTTTACAAATACCGCAATCATTTCCGATCATGTTTTGAAAGCAAATCCCAATTAAAGTGAGATAAAAACGTTTTTCCTACATAACGGATTTAATTAATCGCAAGTGCAATATTATAGTGAAACCGTGAATAAAATTAAATAACTAGGCATCATCCAGGTCAGGAACCAGAGATTATTTGTGTATAAAATTGTTCTTGAGTTTTGATAACCAGAAAGAAGACCTTGAATCAGTGTTGTATAGGGCTGGGACACTTAATGATCATTGCCAATAGCTTACAAACAAGGTTTCCACTCACTGACGGCGCTTCAATGGCGATTGTGTAAAGTGTAAAGTAAAAAAATCACAACTGCAGTGGGTGATTGTAACGAACAGAGGTATATGGATGATGCTAAACTCGATTTTCCAATGTGTCACTTTCTGTTTCTACTCACCGTGTGATGCTAATCACTGCACCATACAGCCAATAGGCCCATAGCCCATCTCTTGGGTACGTACGCCTACCTATTTATTCATAACAACCTTTTCGATGACGATCCTTGATACCGGTACTTTTCCATGGAATACATGGCCTACCTACTTAAGAAATAAAGTTACAAATATCCAAAAACCCAACACATTTTGTGATTTTTGTCACATTCAACTGACTACTACAAGATCAAGATCCCCGTGCGTAGAACGGGCACACAGCTAGTTAATACTATTGACTTTTGGCTACTGAAGGTTTTCTATCAATACTCTTACTTAATTAAGCATTGATCGGTGACGAACAGAAGGGCTTTTGTCTTTATTAAACCCAGTTAGTTGTGCTTCGGATTCATCCATACTTGTATAGCAAATATATAAAATTGTCCCCTACAATAAATTTAAACTTGAGTAGCCTACCTGTAACCATTTTTTAAGTCACCTGGGCGAAACAGCTGAGGGAATAAGTAGCCTAGACGATGGTTGTAAATCTTAATGGATTTCCTTTATATTAAATACGTACATTAATTTTCTTTATGCTTTTAGGAGCTTTTAATTGAAAGAAGCAGCCTTTCATTACAGAACCAATTAATTTTAGCAGCGTAGATAACACTGCAGCAGAAGTCTGTGGCTCATGACTAGCCCAGGTTATTTTATGTTACATCTGTTAAATTCTTTTAACAACATAACCTTAACAGAAACAATATCGGGAATTAATTAGCTTTAAATTAGGGGATGATGATGGTCAATAAATGGTTGAATGATGAATCCATATTGTCTAGGCTCAACCAAAATATTGTGCATAATGACCCTGGACGAACCCGACTAATCACATCCAAAGATTAACTTTTTAAGTGAACATTTTAAACCCGTCTTGATAAAATAATGCATCATACCAAGTCACTAAAAACCATCTATAGGGATTGTGTTTTGGGTCATAAACTGATTATTAGTGTAGTAGAGTTTCAATTATCTAACCTTTGGTTATCCATTCTTCTATGTTACCTGACCCTCAAGTTTCGTCTGGTTTTGGACTGCGGCAGTATATCTGCTTTAAGTGTGAGACCATAACTACAAGTCCAGAGTCTTGTGTTCAGTGATTAGCATTTCCAGATTAATCAGTCATAACAAAATATTTTTGTACTGATCGTTTATCACTAGCCGTAGGCGTATGTGGAATTAGTGACAACAACTCCAATAAAGCTCATTATCCTGTTAATACCTGTACCTTAGAATTAAACGGTCCCCGGCTCAGGTGAGAGCTGGCTTGAAAGAATCCCAGATAAAATATGATGCTCGGTTGTGGGGAAATTACAAATAAGTTCTTCAGAAGCTTTGTGCTCATATAAAACATTATCAGTGTTCATCAACTAAACTTGCAGATAAGTAGAAAAGCACATGATCATCCGTATCAATTTTCCACAGAGGAGATAACAATTACCAGGAGATATCTTGGCCTCGTACAAGCAATGATAGGAACCGACCCAATGCAAATGCAATCGGCTGAGCATAAGGCTGCCAGGCGCAAACTGTGCAGCATTCAACTGCAACAAGGTCAGGTGCTAGAAAGAACGACAACAATGACTATGAACCCTGGGGGCAATACAATTGTAGCCTAGAAGGTGGGGGCTTTTCACATGTGTAGTCATGGAACCACAAGCCTTGTCCACTGTAGTCGGCACATTATTCCTAGACTATCTCTAGGGAATTTGAAGACATTGGTGCCTCCCTGTCGTACCAGGAAGAGGAACTTACTGTCGTTGTTCAATCATTAAAAAATATAAGGACATTGGGACCTTATTGCTGTAGGGCTACTAAATTATTTATTCCCAGTAACCTTACACATAATTTAGATTTGTATAAAGTTATTAGTAAAATATTTTTATGGAGGTTATAAGTAAAATAATATTCATGCTCTTCATGCTTTGAGATTTATCAAATAAAATAACTCTTCCTCAACATTATATCTCTTACTTGGAAAGGGGTTGTTTCCATAATTTTACTTAAAAAACAGTTAAAAATTGTCCCATACGTCAACCTTACCCAAAAGGGGATTTTAAAATTACAACAAATTTTATAATAGTCACATGCATCAAAGCAAACTACTACTTCACAAGACAGGCAGAGAGTGAGGGGTGGAACCTGGAAAAATCATGCTGACTGTGGACTGTTCTCTGATTGGTTAAAATTCACAAGTTCTGGAACATTCCAGCCAATAAGATCACATTACCTTGCTTCAACCTGTACAGTGATTTTCATAGAATATTCATGTTTTAGACTTTCAAGTTAAATTCGGTTTTTATTTGAATTTAATTTAATTTCATAGTTTTACTCAAATAAATAGTTTTCTAAAATGAATAACTTGCTTAAATAAATATTTTAATTTAAGGAAAAGTAGTAAAATTGTTTTTGAAGTTATCAAAAAATAGCTAAAATAAAATATTGAAAATAAAATGCTGCATTGCATACCCTTAGACAGCGGTTCCCAAACCTTTTTAAACGGGGACCAACCTGCAACCTGGTCCCAAACCACCTCAAATAATATGATATCAGATTATCCTGAATTCTATACTACACATTATCTGTCCATCTTCTTTTCTTCTCTTTTCTTTGGTCTTTCTGCAGGCCTTGATTTCCATCTCATTCTGTTGATAGTTATTTCTCCAGTTTATCCTTCTCAAAGCGCTCAGTTTTAGTTAGTGTTTTATTCTTCTGACCTTCAATAGTTTGTTATAACATAGGCTGCTTTGTCTAAGTAATTTTCTTCTCAGGGTCCACCCAGTTGATATTTCTTGTGATGAAGCCTCTACGATATTAGACCCCTATGCTGCCATGAAAATCCTTGTTAACCTATGTATAATGACGTGGTTGCTTTAACTGTAGCAAGGAATGTAGAGTAAACAAAATTCATGCTTGGTCTAATAATGGTGAAAACGAGTAAAAATATTTACCTGTTTTGGTGCTCAATTCCTAATGAATTAATTTATCTTGTGAAGACCCATTTCAGCCGTTCAACGTTTTAAAAATTAGCCCATCCCAACCAAGCTCTAGGCCTACTACAGACAGGTTAACTTCTCATGAAAAGCGCACTAAACCTGACCAAGACGGATTCGAACCCCTAATCTACTGTGCTTTCCCCTGACCAACACCCGAACTGCTCGGTCATTGCATTTGATATCGGCTGCTTGAGCTCTAAGAGTTTATGTCAACATGCTTATCCGCGACATATAAAACTAATGAATTAGTTTAATTGTTTACTAGGGACACAATTATAACAAAATATGTGGATGCTTTTTACTTTCTCCCCCTATATATAATTATAGACAAAATAGTGCTCCCCAATGCTGTAAAAAATAGGGTTCAAACAAAAGTCATTGTATCACATATTATTTTCTTATAAAAATCCCAAAAATAAGAGAAAATCGGATTTAAATAAAAATGCTAGTTTTGATTACTCCATTGCTGTTTATAAAAGGGTCGGTTCAAAATTTATTTATTGTAACTTGTGCTACTTCCCCATAAAACCCCATAAAATAAACAACTCCTTGATCAGCATCGTACGTGTTATTAAATTAGTTGAAAAATATGTCAAATAACACTTATTATAAGTGTTATTTGACATATTTTTTGTGTTTTCAGATAAAATAAACAACTTATATGAAAGTTTTGTTTAAAAAGCCATTGCAGCTTTTGTGATTTTTCCTATAAAATATCATAGTTACTCCCACCGCTTACCCATGATAAAATTTGTTGACAAGCTAATGGGAGAAAGAGAAAGTATGTGTGAGATTGCCGTTTATTTCTGTTCTAACTGTAAAACAGGTGTAATATTATAGATTGAATAAGAATATTTAATTTGTGGTTTTTGACATCTGATATTTTTCAGGTCAAATGCCCTCGGTGTCCATTTGCCACCTTTCAAGAAGACAACGTCGTAGCTGACTCGGATAAATCTTCGAATGGGAGTCTCGTGTGTGAAGTGTGCAGTGCGAGGTTCCGTACCAAATATCGTCTTAACCGACACAAACTCATTCATGTGGGAGTGAAGCCTTTCTTGTGTGAGACTTGTGGTATGAAGTTCAACCAGAAGATAAGTTTGAAACTTCACATAATGAAGCACTCCAAAACGGCCCCTCATACTTGTCAGTGGTGTGGTCAATCTTTCCGGTTTAAAGTGTCGCTGCAATCACATTTTATAAATATACACGGAAACACGTCGCAGTCGGGGACTAAGATTGAATGTGACCAATGCCAGAAACAGTTTGCCACCTCATACAAGCTGAGGAGACATTACCGTCTACACACCGGGGAGAGACCTTATTCCTGTCCGGTCTGCAACAAAGGTTTTTCACAAACCGGGAACTTGAAAATCCATTTGAAAAAACATAAAGAGAACTCCGATTCTTTCCCGGGGACTTTCAATGCGGAGTTGTTGGAAAGTGATCAGATATTAGACACTATTTTGGATTCTTGCCCACAAGGAAAACAGTTTTTGGATTTGCCCTCTGAGGGGCAGCCTGGCTACAACTTGGTTGGAGGTGGGAATGTGGACAAACATAGTACAGCAGATCTCTTTTCGGACTTTAACCCTCAAGATGTCCTTTTCGATAACACTCCTATTCTCCCCCCACCCACCTCTAACACACCTATAATTCTACCAAATTTCTCAAGCATACAAGGTGGTACTTCGGACATAAATTTATAATATATCCATTTTGTTTACTTTGAAAATGGCCTTAGTATCGAAACCTGGCTGATATAATTTTACATGATTTTATGCCAAAAAGGGTATTCAGTTTATTAATGTTCAATCTTTTAGTAGCAGTAGCCCTATTACTCTATTTTTCAAATTTATTATCTAGGTTGGTTATTTAACTTAATAATAGTTCTCAACCGAATTTAGTATTTTAAGATTTAAAATATGTTCTACACTTAGGCCAATTCCTTATATATATATAATATATACCTATATATACAAAAATGAATGTGGAATAAGTCTAGCCACAGAAAGTATTTAGTGGTCTAAAATTTGGAGTAGAGTTTCTGACAAGTAAATATCAGTCATTGAGATCTGTTGACATGTTTGTATCAATAATGTATGAATTTAGTCTTAATGTTTTCCTAAAGGGTATGATTATTTTACCCATCCCGCTTTGTACCTTTGTAGCTTTGTGTTATTTAGTGTATATTTGTATTACAGTAAAAATCATAGGTACCGTAACTTATTTCTAGTTTTTATCACAAGAAACCCTACATTCTTATTGTTAAGTTCTTATAAATAGCTTCACTGTCCATTCACCACACCTCTTTTAAGAACATAAAAGTAAATAATAAAATAAGTAAACAAAAATGTAAACAAACAAACTATATTGTCAATTGCATTGGCCAGCTGTTGTTCACTAAATTAATCAAATAATAACTTCCAAAACATGCAAGGCGTAGCCTTTTGGAAATCAGCCTGTGGGGCAGAGCCCTTAGGAAGTTCGTCCATATCAATACTTTTCGGCAAATCTACACACTCTAAGCTTCATTTTGATATGCCATATGCCTATATTTTTATTTGGTAAATGGCCTTAACCGTTTACATAAAATTTGATTGTATCATTTTAATAATATAATAGATTCTATCCTAAATAACTTCTTGATCAGCAGCATCGTACGTGTTATTAAATTACCTGAAAAAACAAACAAATTGTAGGTCTAACAACACTAGTAATAATATATTTACACTTATACTGTTGAATCACAAGATGGTAAATACATATGAAAGATTGTAAGTGGTGATCGATTTCGATTGGACACTTCAATCATCATCAGACCCAATAGGCGAATGACAAGAATAAAAATGGCGTCCCTTATATACTATAAGTAAGTGAGTAATAAGCAATAAGTTTCTAAAAGTACAACTAGAGTCAAAATTCACAATTAGCTTATTTCTAGTTTTACATTTTTTCTTGTCAATATAAAATTAATTATTCCCAAGCATTCATCACATTTCCTTTCTTACAATTCTTTAAAATACATACATTGTCTTCCATTTTCCCTAATGAGTGGCAATTTTGTAACAATTGTTGTGCGAAATTTGATCTTTCTTGTTTGTTGTTTATCCAAGCAGAAATACCTATGATTTTTTAAACTTTTAATAAAGTTTACAGTTTGTCCAATGTAAACATACCACAATCGTTACAACTTATTTTATAGATGCTTGAAGAGTCAATTTTTTTACAATCTTCTATATTAGGATGCAATATTTTTAGTACTCTATATTTCTTGAACTTGTTAGCGTTGTCCTGGGTCCTGTGTAACTAAATGTAACATATGTTTTGTTTTCTACTTTTATTTCTTCCAAAGTTGTTCTGCTGTGTAATCTTTTCCTCGTCTCGTCTTCTTACCGATCTCATCTGTTGTTTTAGCGTGAAATCCTTTGAAACAATCTTTCATATATATTTACCGTCTTGTGATTCAACAGTATAAGTGTAAATATGTAATTACTAGACGTATGATTTGTTTGTTTTTTGAAATTCTATCCTAGTAAACAAATAGGATCAAAATCTATAAAAAATTTTAACCACAAGCATGTTTTCAAAGCAAGAGATGTGAGCTCTGCACTCTGATCAGTGTGTTGAGTAGAGAGAGGGATCTTCATGGTACTATTTACAGAGCTCCCAGAATACTCTGTCTGCAATCTCTGGTTGAAGCACAGAGGGCATTAGCTTCAGATTCCTTACCCTCCACAGACCAATGTAACCCTCTTGGCAATTAGAAGTTGAGCTAAAGGATTTGAAAATTAAAAATGGGTTGCATGTTTCCCAGGTTAATCTGTTATAAAATTTGGTCTGTATAACTTCTCTCTAAAAATGTAACTGAAACATTGTTTACATTATGTGAAATATTATCTGCTACTCATAATCATCATATATTATTTTCTATTTAAAAGAAAGAAGGAATATTTAAAAGATTTGATCACATTTGTTTAGATGGATGTTAACCCTAATAAATTCCTAATATTCTTGTGAGGAATTTCACAAAGATTCCAAATATTACAATAAATCCCATTTACATATAATTTTCAATGCAGCTTTTGCTATTAATCAAATACATGTTATATTAAAGAAAATGCAACTTTAGCCGTTACATGTTTTTCAAGAGAAACTCTTAGATTTAAAAACAAAAATTTGAAGAAGCAGTATTTTTTATACATTATTTTAAAGATTATTGATTGAGGAAGTTTTTAGTAGTATTTTGACACTCTCTACAGTCCAGAGTAGCATATAAAACCCTAGGTGAAAATTAATAATGTTTTGTTACAAAATCAGAAAGTCAAACTTCCATTGCAGAATAAGGGCTTACAGATGTTAAATCTCAATGACTTTCTAGTAATTATTATTGTAAATCTAATGAGGATTCTGAAAATGACAATTACCTTGAAATATAACCCATCTTTAGTGCACTTGTGGTCACTTTATCTATTACAAATATTTTGAACAAATCTAATTTTTTTCTGTTACTGTCTTTCTGTGAGGATATAAAAACTTAAATTGGTGTATTTTTTTAGTGGAGCCATTTTGTTAGCAATACCATTTACTATTGGATACTGAAGGTAACACTTAAATAAAAATGTTTATCACTAACTTCTTTCCACCACAGGGTACAGATATAGATCCTGATATGGCACCAGACAGAATGATTTATCATTTCATATGATTCAAACCAAATAAAAATTGATAATCAAAAGTTACCTCAAAGTCTGATTCACAAATAAGAGTACTACTCAAGCTATACACATAAGTTTTTCCCATTGCCAACATTAAAATTATTCTTTGTTTGAAGTTCATTGTTGGTGATGGTGAGTTAATGACTTGACTGCTATACAGTGCATATTTTTGACTGCCACCCTCTGTAGTGTATTCCAACTTAGGTTGGGCGTTTGTGTATTGTTAGTTGTAATGTGTTAGTTAAGTTTTTTTTCACCTGAAGACGGGATCAGATTCCAGATCCCGAAACGTTGTGTATTGTTTTTTACATTCGTGATGGAAAATGTCCGCAATAAACCTTTGAACAACATTAAAATTATGGTTGATCATCAGCCCCATATCAAGTTGTGAAAACCTACTACAACATGGATGTAGACTCTTTAATGATACAGAGCTGTGAAATAAAAAAAATGAACCAATGAAATCAAATGAAATACATATGAACAAGTGAAAAAACAAAACAAATGTGTTTGTAGCTTGACAAATGAAAAAAAAGTTATTGTCCTAAGAGCGAGATATCCTACATTGTATCTTATAATATATCTTATATTTATTTTATTGCATTGCACTGGGTTGAATAGACTGTATTTGCAACACACAAAATGGGACTTAATGCATCAGCTCTGGACTGAGAATAAATCCACATCATCACGAAATTAAAGATAATGTAGAATGGTAATATGCACTCTAGAGAAGATGGTCTTGGAAGAAGTTTCATTGGAGAAGGCTTAGGCCTAAGGCCAAGCAAGCTATAAGCAGGCCCGTCTCTGGGCCTGAGGCCAAGATATAAACAGAATGGCGGGAGGTCTTGCCAGCATAGTGACACTTGGACACAATAACGGTTGTCTGCGAACAGAAGATTTAGAAATAACCATTCTGACAGTAATTAAGCCATATGACGTTTTTCATAGCATACAATTGTGAAAGCATTACATAATATTTCCGACATACAGGTACCCTATCTGTGGTTATTTATTTAGAAGGTCGCATCTGATTCGTTTGGCCCACGGTGTAGTTTGAGAAAAGTGAAATGTTCCTGATGTGTGTGATGTTAGCCCTCACTAGTAAATAAAGGCTGCAATTTTAATAGAATCTGTAGATGTCTGATTAGTTGTAGGTTTTAAACAACCGCATTATCTTTCTTACCTTTAAGAAAATCAATCCTGTGTGCTTCGACATGATTTTACATATCATACTAAATTTAATGAGAAAAATAATAAATAAATAAGTAATCCTAGGAGATGACCTGCTGAATTGCATAATCTAAATAAATAAAATTACAGTTTTGTCTGTAAAACTATGTAGAGTTATGAAGTTTTTTGTTAGTTTTATGTTGCATAGCCTATAAGAAAGTCGAAAAGAGTCTTTATATTGCTTTTATGTGTGTCTGGAAGCGACGCCCAAGATGGCCAAGATGACAGTTTACGATTAGCAGCTCTTTTCCCTGTAAACACTAAATAAGAGCGTATCTTAAGCTATTGAAGGTGGCGGTTCCAGGGGCTTGTCAATGGTGGGGGGGGGGGGGGCTACCGGTGTGTTTGGGGGCGTGGAACACCCTCCAAGAAAGAAGGGCTTCGGGGACCTCCCCTTGGAAAATTTGATATTTTCAAAAGCAGTTTGAACATTTGCTTAACTATGCCACTTTTAATGTATTTAACTAAGCCAAAAAACCTCCGTTTTTAAGACAAAATAGACCTAATGTTTAGATTTTTCCAGGGCCCAATTTGGGGGGGGGGGCTTTAGCCCATGTAGTCACCCTTGGAACCACTATTTAATAAAAATTAACGTTCGAAAACCCAGTTATGCGCGTTATCGGACACATTTTAATCCTAGTGTGTCCTACCTACGCTATATATCAAATACCAATCAGATGTTACATCATCTATAAACATTATCAAATTTACAAACTTTTGATAGCAAATAACGCGAAACCTATACAAGATATCGAAAAATAGTAAATTACAGACTTGCTGGAAATTTAATAAGCTTTCATTTTGTATATTAGCATAATTTCGCTTGGACGCATGGTTTCCGAGATATCAGCAAAAAAACGAAAAATGGTACCTTCAAGCCCTCCCCTCCCCCACAGCACAAGTGTTAGAGGCGGGGACTTTTGGTATGTTAACCTCCTAACTATACTAAACATAGTTACGAAGTCAGAAATTGTGTTCCAAACATTTCCCTCTATACCATTTTTTTAGCATTCGTTGCCTGGACTACTATACAAATAAAGGCGAGCTGTTCTTTCTGAAACTCCCACTGTAACATACGTTGTATTTTGTTTACCACTGCAGATAAAAAAAACTGCCCTCGAGTATTTTATTTGCTTGGATGAGTACCTAACTTTTTCAGATGGACGCTGGAAAAGGTACTCATCCGAAATGTTAATTTAGAGCTCATGCACATAACTAGAGTATCCACACAAACATGGAAAACCATTCCGGAAGTGGTCGGAAGTCAAGGAGTTATTGTAGGTGCCAGCTGCAACGC